AAGAGCATTCCGTTTCGTTTGCCTTCAAATAGTCCGAAATCGTTCCATTACGTGAAGTCCTGAACTATGCAAATGAGTCAGGGATTGTTACCTTCACTCATATCTACAGTTGGTAGGAAAAACTGTGGAAAAATTTCAGCGTCGCTTTATCGAGGAAAGCTATTCTGCTTGTGATGATTCGAAATTTTTAGAAAATTTTGCCCTTCGAATATTGACCACTGATGAACGCTCGATGGGAACTCCACCCTCTTAGTAATTTGAGATTAGATCGTTGAAACATTCTCTTTTAGCATCCAGGTTAGACATGTAAGAATGTTAGGTGCGGGAAAATGTGTAAGTAGCAGTCTTTTGTTAAACCTTCATTTGCAGGGTGATAAGCAGTCTTTCAAGGCTGAAGCAAAAATTGTCGGTGATTTTGCATTCTTGCGCATCCGACATCGAAACGATGGCACACTGAATCGGGAGCTAAAAGTATGTTCATGCTATCTTCAAAATCGCTCTGGAACTGTTGCTTGGTGCTAACAAGATGTATCCCGATGGTGGCATGAACCTTTTTTTGAGCATCATTGATAATAGTTTGTACACTGAGTGAGATTCATCGGATGAAAGACATGTAACATCGTTTTGACTGACGTTTCATTGCACTCCAACACATAATTCATTCACACAGAGTGATGATGCCGGGCTAAGGTTCGATAAGACTGAGACTTCTGGATGTACTGTATAAGAATATTAAAATGTGATATCTATGTTTCTTATAATGATAAAAGTAGCAAAGAATGAAAAACAAAATATTTTTTTGTACAGGATTTTGAAAGAATAATGCAGAAATTATTGAATGATTGAATGAATTTAAGAATATTTGAAGCATGGAGCAGTTGAGCGCCATTTTTGATAGTTTCTCATGAGCACTGTACCAAGCACAAATTTGAGCCGTGTGCACAGCTGCGATTAAAAAATCGAAATTTGTTTTTTGCTTTAAATTTCAGTGGAAAAATTTACAATGAAAAAACTAACTTCAGAACAGAATTCCGTGGCAAAAAAAGCTTTGTCTTTTTTTTGAAAACTATCGAATAGAACGTTTAAAAGTTTTGTTTTCCGTACCGGCGCTATTATAGTACATT